TGATTTGATATGGTTCCGGAGTTTCCGTGAAACGTACATGACGTATAGGCAACACCCACATCTATATGTTAGCGTCATTATACTGCGCCGTGCCGCAGTTTTACAATATTCGACAGAACACAACATCGTGTTTCTCGGTTTGTGGTGACCGGAGAAAAAATTTGCGCAAGGATCATAGCTGAAGTAAGGTAAGGATAGCGCACAGCATTCGAAATTTGTTGCATCTACGAGATCACAGCAACAGCTCGTGTATTTTAACAATTTCCACCTGAAGTTTCGCGCAGAGTCGATTTATACGCCATTCGATGATGCATTCTGCGTCGGTTTATAGGTTTATAGATTTCTCTCTATCAGAACGTTTTAAGATTAATTCCCACCTTCGCGGGTGTCCTTCGGGAAATAAAATTCGTACGCGCGCGAAAGGTAAGCCAGTTTCTCAAGCAGCAGCAAACAGCAGTCGGCGTTAGCGGCGTCAGCTCTAGCTACTAAAAGAAGGAAACGGAACACAAGAGTAGTGTTTTTCGAACGAGATAGGTGGACCCACAAATTTTTTTGTCTAGCAGATAAAGAGCAGATGGCAGTACCTAGCTAATCATTAAAAGAGCAGATGGCAGTACCTAGCTGATCATTAAAAAACCAGTTGCAACAGGCTAGTCTAGGCCGCAAAAAAATTTGCATCAACAGCAAGGCCAACGCAATGGAAATCAAGACGAGGCTAGAAGAAAGCTATCCTAAGTTAATTGCTCGTAGAGGGTTCGAAACACTACGACGAGGTCCGAGCCCTTCTGAATTAAGCGTTATTCCTCGAGGATTCAAATTTACGATACACTGTCTGCTGCTGCTGCTTGAGAAATTAGTCGACCTTTCGCGAGAAATTTTCCTGTACTCACCCGTTGGTTTCCCGTCCGTTCACTGCACCGGCTACTGCACCGTACCTTGGAGAATCATTATCGGGACCCTGGGATGTGTGCTCCCTGATAAGACGGGTCGCCACTTCTAAAAAATTCACCGCTCTGTTACTAAGGGCCGCCATGTTTCCAAACAAGAAAGTGCGACAGAGCGGAAATATATTAACATAATAATAATGCTGGCGGGATATAAATTATCTTGTCTGAAACTCGTTTCTGAGTGTCATGCCGAACTGCACGTTACCTTGTCAAAACACCATAACGAAACGCACGCTATGAAAATGACAAATCACAACAGCAAAA